TTGGACAGCCCAAAGGCCCGCTGGCACCTTTCTGCTCGAGTGTCACTCAACTTTAAGCCCTAGCTATACCCTTTCATTATGAGCATTTCCATTTGTGGTTTTCTTAATCCCTTTTGTTTACCCTCGAGATTGCCAGCAGACTGGTTGCATTTGCGTCCGAATATTCATGGAACTGCGCGCAGCCAAGGTCACATTCGAGCATTTCCCCACCTTTGCTTACCTCACTGAGGACAGCATGGATGGACTTCATGCACCGGATTCACTGGAGCCATGTGATGGGCAACAGGTCACATGGCATTCCAGCATTCCAGCGGAAGTGAGTACCGAAGTGTACCCGGTCGCAGCCAGTGCAATTTTTTCTGATTATCCTTTATCCGGACAGATTTTGATACGTTTTTTGGTCCATGAGAGAAGCTTTGCATTCGGCCTGGTTGTAGCTTTGACCGACATGCACCTGCAGACAGATCCCGAGCATTCCAAACACTTCTTCGGGCTGTACCACGGAGGACACAGCACGAATGTGTGCATGCAAGCAAAGAGAACATACAGAGGTGCTGGCCACAGCTTAGCCTGGAATTCTGGAACAAGATTGGCCATCCTACTGGACCTTGAGGAACATAACATGCAATGCTATGATGGCCTGCAACCCTTTGGGCCAATGCAGAAGCTGCCTCCAGAAGATTTGTATCCTGTGATCTCCCTCTTCCGTCCAGGTGATAGCATAGCAGTTTCGGTGAGCTACGTGTAACGCGGCGTGCCGCCGCGTGCCGCGGCGATGCCGCGTGCCGACTCGGAGTCGATCGAGGGAGCCGTGTAACGCGTGAAAAAGAGTGAGTACCGACCTCGGAAGCTGTTTTGGTGTTCTTTGATAAAGAGATCCTGCCGTCGCACGACCGTGCGTGGTCAGATTTTGATATACTACTATCCAGTCACGGCATGCTCCTGCATGTCATGTTTTCTTTCACCCAGGCCAGAACAACACGCAGCTTGGCAGAAGTACAAGTTATTTCCACGCTTTTTGAACCTTAAGTTGGTTGAGCCTTGTCATGCTTTGCAGCCCTCAGACAGAGGAGATCACAAGATGCAGTCTCAGTGTTTGCAAACCCACTTTCTTGTCTATCCATCCTTGGTGCTTGGGATCTCTTAGCGTGTGCAAGAGAGGCATGAAGCATTTGGACAACCCAAGGCGGGCCTACTTGGCAGCCGTTGTCAATGAACAAGCGAGGTCGGGAGCACCATATTGCCGTTGTTTGCTGGCACAAGCACCTTCCTGATTCAATTCGGTAGGTAGTGGAGTAGTGGATCACCATGATGACCTAAATTGAGGAATTTGGTTGGACTGATGGCTGATGCTCTTGCGGTGCTTCGTATCGCAAACACAGAGGGAGTTTAGTGCAACGGTGCCTTCATGATGACCCCCAGCACCCGGCTGGGATAAACAAATCATCCTCACGAAACAAGGAGAAATATGAGAAGAATCTTTGCTTAGCCAGGATGCTACGTATGTTTCCCAGGCGTTCATTTGCAATTTGATCCCGAAGTTGCGTCCTCAGAGGTTGACTGAGGGGATGGCCAAATCCTTCCCCTTCAGGTCGCAGAAACCCGATACTTGAGACTGATTCCAAGAATTCCAAGGTCGCATTTGTCGTATCGTCGCAGGCAAAGACGGGAATGTAACAATGTCAGCACGATTTTGCTCGATGATGCGCCATGGCTTGAAAGGGTGGATGTTGCCGTGACTGGCGCATGACATGGCGTAGGTGAACAGTGCCCGCGTTGGTGCTCGAAACCTGTTTGTCGTGCTCGAAAGGTCAGGGACATGACAACATAGTGCGGTGCAACATCGTGCAAGCATGTGTGGTTCCCGGTGGACCCGAAGGGAACTTGTCGGACAAGATCTAGAACACCTACCGCAGCCATCCGAGGAGAAGCTGGCAGAGGTTGCTCGGAGGATCTCCGAAAGCGACGCCCGGAGTCCCGCGGAATTCGGAAAGAGAAGGGTGGTGGCGTGGGGTCGTTTCTCGGCTTCTCCATGTTATTCTCCATGCGACGTGGTTGAAAGATGGACTCGCATGCATGCAAAAGAATTGCTTGAAAGCCAAACTCATAAAGTGCACTCTTTCATTTGCAAAGACCTATTGGACAATGATCCTTTGGAGGAACTGGATTAATCTGTGTCATGTTTGCTGGGGAGAAGTCCCTCCTTTGAAGTGCGATTGCCGAAAGTTCCCTCAATCGAATCCAAATGCAACTAAGACCTATACTTACTACTGACCTTCAACTTTGCATACACTTACGCAGAGTTGGATTGGATCTTCCCATTTCATGTGCCTCAAAAGGTTTGAGCTGCTGGAACATCGATATGTGAGGCAAATAATGGTAGGCGCGCACACACACACACACAGTCGTTGCAGTGGGGAGAGGGAGAGGGCTTGTAGCAAATCGAGGATCCTGGGATTAATGCCTGTTTCTTTGATACTGAAGGAGGTGGAACAGGACACCGCGTGCGCACGACGTGCGAGCCTGTGGCCCTTGGCGGCTCAGCGTGTCCCAAACCTGAAAGATTTGAATGGAGAATCCTAGCCCTAGCCCCTGCTTCAAAGGATTGGACGTCAATATCAACACACACACATGCAACATATAAAAGAATATTAAAAACACTTAAAAACACATCTAAAAAATATTAACATAGAATTGTGTCATTTGTACTTGGTACATTCCTATCAACTTACATGTTAGGTGTTTGATCACATTGAATTCCGCCATTTGAGGCCATTGCCTCCATTGAGCGGGCACAGAGGGACTACGCCAAAGCTGGTTCCAGCCTCGGATACAGCTGAGGCTCCCCTCGGGACAATCCAATAAGTCAGCCTTTCGATAGCTAGGACCACTAGATTTTCGGGAGTTGCTTGGTGCTCCAGTGATAGCGAGAGAGAGTGACTGTGGAGCCGCAAGGAGAGACCAGGTCATAGCCGGGTGGCGGTGCAAACTGAGGGTCGCGCCGTTGTGTCGTGGCACTCCATCGAAATTGAAGGGACTCCGTGAAGCGGGTATTCAGTATTGATGCTTTTGATTTCTCAGCCTCACGTTGCGACCCCAAGCCACGAACCAATTTCTTTCAGTGCTAGTTTGACGCATCCTGCTTCTTAGGAAAAGAGGACCCACAAAATCAAGAGTGCCCCAAAATCGTCGAGGAGGCAGTGGAGGCAGCCTAAATGCAAACGCTTGCCAATGCGATGAACTGAGACCAGACTTGGATTTGCTGTTGGACCTCAGTAGTTGAAGTTGAGCTATTCTTCTAGGCGAAACGACTGGAGAGCCGTTGCGGTCCAAGGGGCGCCCAAGTAAGTTGCAGCAGACATGATCAAGAGTCAGAAGTCAAGAATGAGAACAGCAAACACCCTACAACATCGTACAAGAACTGTTCACTTGTTTGCTGCTTGTTAAAGCAGTAGTGCATTTGAACCGCTGCTCCCTTGGCCGTGGAGAGAAGGCATGAGCTCACCAGAACGCCAGGAGAGCCATTGCCAGTACTTCCTGCTGTCCCCTGGCCGTCACGAGGAAGCTCAGGATGAGAATGCTAATGTCAATGTCACAAGGACAGTAGTGAAGATTGCCAAAGGCAAAGCCAGGGCAAAGGCTTCATTGCCAGGGAAGAAGCCGATCACAATGCGACCAAGCACCCCACCACGCACAAGACATCTTGAAGCCAAGACTCCCGTGCCAATGACCGCACGTGCACCTCGCACACCAAAGACAGAGCCATGGGTGCCTTTGACAGCCAGAACGCCCGCGCGCACTCCCAAAGTGCGCTCACCCTCGCGGGAGAAGAGACTGGAGGAAGATGATGACCTCACTGCATCTGTGGGTTCGGGACATTTCAGTTTACATTCTGAGACCAGTGGACACTCCCGACTTACCCAGTTGTCCCGGAAGAGTTTCTCCAAGCGAATCCTTAGCTCTAAGGAGCTAGAGGAGTTGGAAGTCATGGAGAAGAAGAGGCAGTTGAGTGCGATGATGCGACGGAATCAGATGAACTGCCGCAAGGCACTGCTTCAATCGGACTTGAGCAGTGCAGGGCGCAAGCAGAGCACTACCAAGCTGACAGAGCCCAGGGAGTTCCATTTCTCATGTCCACCAACTCCTCGTTCTCCATCACCTGCATCTGAAAGGTATGATCCTGAAGAATCCAAGGCTGAATACTTCCCGCGCTTCTTGCGAGGTTCTTCATCTTGCCAGTCATTGGACAGTTGGAAGCCACAGCTGACAGTGCCCAAAGGCCCTCAGCTGCAAGTGGTCCGCCGCTTGAGCGCTCCTCGCCCCGGTCCGCAGGAGCCTGAGGATGATCCAAAGACTCCTCGGAGGCACCGAGTGGAGGTCCGCAAGGCCGCGGCCGAGGCGGAGCGCCGTGCAGTGAAGACCCCAGCAGCAGTTACGCGGCCTCGAGTCATCGTCCAAGATCTGGAGAAAGCCGAAAAGCCCTTGACCCGCACTGACGGCTCACCTGTGGCTGGATTGGTCCAAAGTCGCAGCACCAAGATTCTCAGGGGAAACCTCATGGCACCTAGTCCTCGTGGCATGCGCGTGAGCTTCGGATCCAAGACCCCTCGGCCATGCTGCCCATGATGATGATGATGATGATCTTTGAGGGCTGGTCGAAGGCGAAGGCTTGCGGGATGCCTTGATGACGCAAGTAGTGGCTGCCTTGCAGCTCTCGGGGAGGCAGAGACCTGCCAGCTGAGATGGCTCAGCGCTGCATCTCTGCGTGGGAACAAAAGGTGCATTGAACTGGTTAGGCGCTTGAGACATTTTGAGACTTCCTCCTTGGGAGATTGAAACGTGTGGAGAAAACCATTGACTCTGGCATACTCTAGCCATGCTTTTCGACTTGCAAATTCAATTGCCAGGGCCAGGACCGGGACCACAGAGAAGAAGAGGAGCAGCCTGAGCAGGATCGGAAGTGTTGGGATTGTCAACGTTGACGCCACCATTGCCAAGAGTCAAGAGTATAGAGCTGCAGATAGATAGAACATGATACGTACTGTAGAACTACAAATATACGATCAAATCATGTACGTTTCTGTCAAGATTTTTTCGATCAGATGTTTACGTATCATTTCTTTCTGCTGGCAGAGTTTCGCCCTCGAGATGTGGGCACCACAATCTATATAGAATAGTAAAACTAGGAAAACACGGCTACAGCTCTAAACTTGGCAGAAAGTAAGTGCTTTGCAGCAGCATGAGCCTTGGGCAGGAACCCAACCCACCATCGCCAAAGCCACCTTCTGAATCCTCAGAGCCCGGCTGCCCTCGCGGTCCATTTTGGGGGGTGTGGAGAAATCGTATCAGCCAGTGCGACACCAGCCGGGTCTACATCGTGCATCGCAGATCGTGTGTCATGTGGATGTTTACGTCAGCATAGTGCTCCTGACGAATAGGTTTTAGCCAATGATGTCGTGAGAGCCAAAACCCTTCTATAGGCACCTTGGTCGCGAATTACGTATTCTTGATGATTTGATGGGCAGTGCACCCATGTGTACCCTGCCTTAGGAGGCAGGCAGTTTGTCAAGTCGACTAGCCTGCTATGTTCGACTCTTACTGCAAAGAGGCACCTTTTCCAGTGGCTTTGGAAAGACACATGTCCCTCGTGCCCTGCGCCCTTTGAGCGACATTGTCACAAGTGGAACATCAATTTGTAGACAACAATAGTCCTGCACCACTGGATCGTCTCCCAGTTTCCACGTCCAACCACAATCTTGGTATCAAACTCCGATCAGTGCAGCGCAGTTTATTCCTGTAATCTCAGAGAACTCAGAGCCCGTGCTTTCACTCGGGGTCCTTTTGTGCTCCACTCGGTTTACTCGGTTTTTTTTTTTTGCGAGGTCGCCGCAGTCTGGCAGCTTTGGGATGAAGCGAGTGGAGTCCATCACGCCCCGGGGCCCAGTTGATACGGACTCGAGGCGAACACCTCACAGGAGGGTTTAACATGGTTTAACCAGTGGAGGTGCGGTTCATGACTAACCTGAAAACTGTTTGTCCGGCTTGTTACTCCTACATTGCAGCTTTTTCATTCCCTGTGCAGGCTCGTGGATCGAGAAGAGGCGGGATTGCACGACGCAAGGGGATTGGAGGATGGCTGGACGATGCATTGTTGGATTTTTTGGGTGTATTCAAGACCACGACCCCAAAGCCTCGGATGAAACTCCTCTTCTTTGTCAACACCCGAGCAGGCCGACTCGGATGACGACGTCAGCAGCCTGGCATCTGGGGGCCGACTGCCGGACATGAGCAAAGGCGAGAGCAGCGGCCCACTCCGACCTGGGGACGACTCGCGTGGGATTTGGGTGCCAACTCCACCTGTTTCCGGTTCCTTCAGGTGGGCAGCTGGGAAAGAAGTTCCCGAAAAGCTGGCTGAGAGCATCATTTGGATATTTGATGATATTTGGTGGCGATTGAGAAAGTGGATCAGGATCTCTAGCGTCCTGTTCTCAACTAGTAGCTAGTGTCACCCCCTAGGGATACACATACCATCATATACCCAAGAAGGTGATCAGGGATGTTTGCGGTGCGAGAGTCCAAGTTCTCGAAGGATTTCGCCTGTTCTGCAGGCTTCGGCTTGTCTCGAGAACTGCTCCAAGATATGGGTTTGCGGGCGAACGGCCGCAAGGACGACTCAGTGTCCCGCCAGCTTAGTGTTAACGGCCGCGTCTGTGCGAACGGAGTTGTTGTTCATTGATACACATTCCCCGTCACGTCTGTCATGATTCGGATGCAGGCTTATGACTCATGACTGGCAACTCTTGGGCTGCATTTGATCCCATTTCCAAGGGTGGTCATATTAACAATATATATATATATATATTTGTGTGTGTGCATGTGCGTGTTTTCAGTAGAAGCTTGCCACGAGGACTCAACATAGATATATATATATACATATTATTACTGTATAATGTTCTATCCATATAAGTCATTTTGACCTGGCTTTGTCTCCAAAAATGAGGCGCTTGTGACCTTACTTCATGACATTTCATGACGCATGCCTTTCAATCAAGGACTGCAGGACGGCCGCCTGTGTTCCATCCATCGGTTTCTTGTGGCACTCGCCAGGGGGCAATCCTCGCTTCAGGGGCTACGTCCTACGATGTCGGCCCAGGACTTGCAGGTCGTGGAATCAGTCGGTCATGTGTTGAGCCCTTGGATCCCTGAAGCGCTCGCCCTGGTCGGTCATGGGTGGGAAAAGATATCAGTGATCACGACACATGTGAAAGTCGATGCAGTTGCAGTCAGTAGCTGTAGCTTAACGGTACCAGTGGCAGCTAGTTTGGGTGCATCTCAACTTGGTGTCTTGGACTTCTTGCGAGAATGTCATTCACACACACACACACCAGGCGAAGGGATATGCCGTCAGCTGACAGCGCGCTCGCGAGCTATAGCGTTGCGCTGGAGAAGCTGTGACGGTTAGTGCGCTTGGGGACAAAACCTGCCCAAGGAGGACCCTCACTCTTAGGATTCCATAGGATTCCAGGATCATTTTATCCATCATGAATCATGCCACAACAAGTGGACTTCGAATCGATAGCTTCTCCGCCACAGCTTCGAGATGACATATCATACCAAGTCAAGTGCAGATTTTCCACACGTTGCGTAGAGACCGGCAACTTCAATTCTTTTGAATCGATTATCTAGAAGGGTGGCTTGCAGCTGGCTCTACAAAGTGCAAGAGCTGAAGAGCTTCAACCAATCAGGACTGTAGAACCGCCCATGCATTGCAAGAACGGCAAACTGCTGGATGCAAGCCACCCCAACATGTGTTAACTATGGGTCGTTCGATCGCCCTGACACAGATGGCTCTTCAACACAGGGTGATTGATGATTCTTGTGTCATTGTGCCAAAGGTAGTACACTCACAGCTATGTTCAAGTTTAACATACTTGAGGCTTCTCACTTGTTGAGATTTGAACCCTTCAGGAATAGTTTATGTATGTCCCTGAAGGCATTTGAAGTGCCAATTCCACCGCGACACGCGGGGTCAGTGGACAACGGCTCATCCGATGGCTGTATTTGACGCTGGCCGCCAGCTGCCTGCTGGTGCAAACTCTCTGAGAGCTGCATGACGAGCCTCTTTGGCGCTGCACAAGCACCTGGAGTGTTGCCAATCCGAGTAACTATACATCGAGGAGTTGCACACGTTTCAGCCACGACAATCACCAGTTTAGCATATATGTTTGGCATACAATGGCCCCATGGATGTTAGCTCAGTCGCTGCTTCGGCTTTCAATCAAGTCCAGCATGCTTGCGGATGGTCGAAGTTTTGTGGCCTGCCTTGGCGCCAATAACAGCTAGAGCTTTGTGAGCCCATTCGCATTTAGTATGCCCTTGTTTCATCATGATCAACCCTCGTCTGAAACCAACCTGTTGTGGGAGTTGGGATGAGTTGGGGAAACCCATTTGACAGACCAAATTGCGTGGTGTGTGCTAAATTGTGTACATATTGTTAAGTACATCAATTTTGCTGAAGCCCCATTGAGAATGTAGAAGGTCGAGCTAATCTCCCGTGGAACTGCAAAATCCGTAGAAGGTCAAAGCACCGGAAGTATTCGATTGAAGGCAGGATGAGGGAAGCTTGGATCTTGGATGTTAGAACCTGGGACTGGATGTTTCCTCGCCCCTCCTGCCTCTCCCCTTTCCGAACGTTGGATTGCACCGATTGAACATCGGCGCAGAACGGGGGCCCAGGAGAGCACTAAATCCGATGCTCCACATGATCCGCATGGCTACCAGTAGCAAGTATGGTACTAGTAGCTCCTGGCACTGCTAGTAACAAGAAGCTACTAGTAACAAAGGGCATTGCTACTAGTAGCAAGGCAGGTGGCCACCAATCTCCACCACTCCACCCAGACCAGACCCACACTGTCGTGACGAGCCGCGGGATTGACAGTGGTGGGGCCACACGGAGTGTGAGGCGGAGGGAAATGAGGAAAGAAGAATGAATGAAGAAGATTTCTTCTTGGCCTTTTAGGACGTTGTAGCTGCTTAGCTCTTTGGGAAGGGATTTGTTTAGCTCTGGGAATCTTCTTGGATAAGATGATGATGGCCCAACCACTGCACCATGCTTTGTGATTCACGTACAGTTCTGGGTTTGGTTTGTACAGCTTGATGTACAGCAACGACGAGCAAAGAACAATACAAGTGTCACCTTTTGTAGGAATTGGTGCCTCCTGCATGTTTCCAGACCGGCCGTAGTGTCAGCAGGAGGCAGCACATTCGTAAAGACCTGCTCGTTGACGGCAGTTGATTCAAAAGAAGCCCGCTGACTCGGATGCGCTTTGGACAATACCCAGGTTACTCGTTCCCACTTGAGTTATGAGCAGATTTCTATGGTGTCAAACACTTTCAGGATTCCTCCACTGCAATATGTGGGTAAACAGGCAGGAACCTCCACCACCTAGGCATTCTGTGACACCATCCGAAACTGCACTTGACAGTCAAACTTGAAAAGGCATGTATTTATGGTAATGTTATGTTAAGTTATGTTATGTTGTGTCACGTATGTATATGTATGTATATAAAGTATGCGTATATAACGTATTATATATATAGTGTATGTGTATATAGATATGTATATATATATACATATATATATATATGCGGCTGTGGCTGTGGCTCAAAACCTGGAGCTCAAAACCCTGGGTTGACCTCCCTGCTGATCTATTCCGTTCATTTTCTCTGGTCGGCCTATACATGGAAGTATTGCCGATTTGCTGTCCATTGCG